TCCGACTCTCCGAATTGCGAAGTTTTGTGCGCGGGAGTGCGAATTGTGCAAAATGTCACCCTAAGGCTCAGGAAGGTCCTATAGAATTCCTTTTGAGTTTCCTCATGTTGCTTTCACCCTTCGTGCTAGAAGTTGATACCACACACGCGAAACTACAAAAGATGACAGAAGTAGGTCGAACTTCTAAAATGAGGTGGGTCCCATTTCTAAGGTTCTAAGATAGTCAAGGGGAGATCCCTAAGGCTAGATCTTAATCCCTAAGAGGGAGACTAGACCTCACTAAAAATGAGGTCAACAAGCTGAGAGCAATGCACTACTTGATAGCACACTTACAAAAGAATATTATCGAAGTGGAGGAATGAATGATGCTAGGGTATTAGATAAGTTCAGTCTTTAGTCCAAGCTGGGGCGTCTTCATCAATTATCATAAAATGAGGGGCCAGATAGAAAGAATAACACAAGTAAAAGAACAATTCTAGTACAGCCAAGGTTCTTTAACCTAAAAGGTAAAGGACTACGTTCCGAAACAAAGCTAAAAGGAAAACTCCAGCCAAACTAATAATAAAAAAGTTAAAAATCTAAAAGGAAAACTCCAGCCAAACTAATAATAAAAATGTTAAAAACAGGTGTTGTTGTATCGTCTTTAATCCAAAGGCCAACAAGCTGACAATTGAAATGAAGACTTACCTGCATTCGCGGCAAAATTGACTGTGGTTGCATTGTAGCTGACATATTAGTGATCTGAAATAAAGATAAGACCGTCAATTAGATAGAAATTTCAACTTTTTATTCCAAGTTCAAATGCCATTAACAATTCTTGAAATGAAACATTAAAATCATGCATGCCATAAAAAAAACATTGTCAGCCAATCTTTATAATCATTATCATTATTAGTATTATCCTAACTATTTGGGGCCAATATCATGAATCTCTATCTTCCAAGTATTCCTATATGAGTTTTTCCAAGATGTTGACACCTTCTCCCGAAAACTTCAACAGCAAGTTTATCTACTCATCTAACAGGGGCATTTTTGGTCTAACTGTAAAACAATCTGAAAAATATAATATTTTCCATTGATAGAAAGATGGCAGCCAAACATCATACAAAAGCTTCATAACCTACATAGGTGCCACATCATCACAAAAACTGGTACCCAAATGCTCAGGTCCATCAAAACAGATCTTCTAGCCATAAACATGGAATAAAATACTATTAATATTTAATACACTATTTATCGCAACGCAATATCTAATAAGAAAACTACGATAGTGTTCCTCTCCACGCTGATTTGAGCGTCATCATAGAAAAATTTCGATGAACACAAATAATTCAACAAACGATTCCAATCTTAGAATACAGTATAGCAGAATATATGACATTTAGCACCCTGTACAACATTGCATTATCAAAAAATAACATGCCGGTGGTCGTAGCAACTTTTTTTTTCTAACCAATTGAGAATTTGGAGATGTCTGAGCAGCATTGAACAAGGCACTATTTGCAGACCCAGTATATTGGTTCAACTGGTTTCTTAGTTGGCCTCCTTGGGTTATCTGGTTTTGTGCGATGTTATGTTGAATATGTGTAGATTGAAGTTGTCTGTTTTGAAACTGTTGCTGGGACAAAGTTTGAGGATACTGCATTTGATGTTGTCCAGGCACCTATTATGAAGATGCATTTACCTTAGATATTTAGAAAAGTAAAAAAAGAACTTTTCATGCACAACAGAACACAAGAACATTAGCGAAACAAAAGGCTCTGAATCAAAACCGGTTGAAACTTCTGCTGGCCTTGTCCCTGTAAATCATGTAACTGAGACATAGTACCCTGCAGCAAAACAAATCTTCAAAATAAGTCGCTAAATAGATGATGTTGATTTGTTAAAGCATATAATTTCACAAGAAATAAGTCTAACAAACCAGAAAAATTGCCGTCTAAAGAAGCAGGCATAAACCAAATTACTTTTAAGGAGGCGTATTAACATATAGAACAAAGGCAAAAAGTTGGTAAGCATAGATGAGAAGACCATTCTAGATCATCTAATAGTTCTGCGCCTGAAGTTCTATTGGTAACCAGAATGTAATTTTTTAGTTCAGAAAAACAAATAGAATAGAATGTGCTTTCGAATCATCCATGTTAAATAATTTCAAATGATGTCTACGGAAACTGATGAAAGAATGTAGCATGAACGGGCAATTGATCAGATAATCATAGAGAGGCAATAGAAATTATCATTGTCTATACTTCCTAGATGAGCTAAAGCAAAGATTAAAGAATAATGAGGCCATCCACTTACAATAAATTATTATCGAAGTTGAAATTAGCTTTCTGGCCCGTATAAGCTTGTTTGCTATTTCGCTTTTAGACAATTGTCATACTACTGTTTAGCAATTTGCTATCTTGCTGCTTTATGTGGCAATGAGCAGCCCTTTATAACGGGATTCACTAGAATGTGGTAGTTTGTAACTATTATCTAAATTTTTCAAAAGTGAAAAATTTATAATTCCTCCAACTCTACAGCGATATTTTACAAATATATAGTCGCCAAAACGGACCCTCAACACTACACAAACTCATGCAGAGTCAATCATGTAGAGATTGACAAAGAAGCTTGCCATCTGGAGCAAATAATTAGCCAATGGAAACTTCTGCCTTACAAATAAATATTTATTAGAAAACATCACTCTTAAATAGCCTTTATATTTTAAAAGTATGCAAAAACACCATTTACCAGAAAAAAAACAATGCCTAAGAATATTGTAGAAGAGGTCACAAAGAGACAATTTTTCAAAATTACATAAAATATATGCAAGACTTCAAGAATCCCTTAGATGAACAAGATGTTTTTTCTAGACTTGTTATAGATCAAAATAATATCAACATAGACAATAGCAAATCACCAATGAAAGAATGGACATGTTCATAGTTCTCATCAAATACCAGGTGCACAGGACAAACCAAAGGCATAAAGCCAATAAATTTTTATTAATGCAAATAGTTTGTCACAAATCTCCCTCACACATCCAAGTTTGATTATAAAAATCTTGAGGAATTTTCAAAAATATCAAAACTTTACAAATCACGTCAAACATATCTAAGAAAGTGAAGCATATATTTGATAGTTGCGGATTTTAGGAGGAAAAACACACTAATTTTCTTGTTAAGCAAATACCAAATATATATATGCAACTCAGACCTACGATTAATTTCTACCCCTCAAATGTAACAGTGGACCTAAGATTTCTTAAACTGTGGGTGGGCTCATGTGGTCCACGATTATATGCATATCAACACTCCCCTCAAGTTGGGTTGTATATGTCATACGTCTCAAACTTTTTTTGTTGAGATCACTAAAGTGGTGCCGAGGAAGAACCTTGATAAGGATGTAAGCAATCTGACACGGAGTTGGGATATAGCTTAGCTGGACAACCTCTGCATTGACCTTTTCAGAGATAAAGTGTGTCAATCGCTATATGTTTGGTTTGATCATGGTGTACAGATTCTTTGAGATACTGATAATTGATTGACCATCAGTGAATATCTTAAAAGTGTTTTAGTTCTCCATGTGAAGTTCCACTAGTAATTTCTTTAGCCACATCCCTTCACAAATTCCTAGGGATAGGGTATAATACACAGATTATGCACTACGTCTTGCCACTAAAGCTTACTTTTTCCTTCTCCAGATAACCAGGCTACCCCATGCAAATGAACAATAATCTATGGTAAATCTTTTGTTGCTCAGTTCTTCTGCCCAGCTAAAAGCAATATAGATCACAATATCACAATTCTCAGTATTCTCGAATATCAATCCACATCTTGGAGTCATCTTTAGGTACCCCTCATGATTCGAAAGGCTATCTTTAGATGATCTTCACTTGGATCGTTCATATGTTGGCTCACTACACCCAAAAAAAAACAATCTCAAATCTCACATGTGACAGATAAATGAGTTTCCTCACAAGGCTTTGATACCTCACTTTTCACTTGGGGTGTTACCCTGTCCTTTAAATGCTCGTCTATCAGAATCCATAAGAGTATTTGTTGGTTTGCATCCTAAACATTCATGTATCCTTTAATAAGTCAATGATATATTCTCTCTGGGACATGACAATGCCTCCTTTGAATCTGACTACTTCCATTCCCATAAAGTATCTTAAAATACCAAAACTCAGAATTCATTACTATTTTAATTGTTTCAAGTTCCCTTACGTCGTTCCTGTAAGAGTATCATATACACAATAAGGATGACTATCATTCCTTCTTAATTTGATTTCTCAACAAAGTATAATCAGCCTGACACTGATAGAAACCATTGGCAAGAATAGCCTTGTTGAACCTTTCAAACCATATTCTGATAGATTATTTCAACCCATAAAAAGATTCATTTAGCTTGCACACAAGCTGGTTATTTGTATTGTTCTTTAATTACGGAGGTATATGATACATCTCAACACCAAAATCAACGAACAAACCACAACAAAATCGCAATATATGGGTGGAAAACACATATAATGGTTGCCCTTGCAACAAAGGAAAAAACATGTAAGATATAAAGATGATCTACTTTCGAGATGTAGATCGGCCCTCCCACACTCTAGACGTGGCTAGGAACAACACCAAAAGGAGAAAAACACGACAACCACAAAATAATATATGAAAATAAACAAACCCTAGGTTCCCCCTTTAATAGAATCCTCATACGCCATTTGAAAAAATTTCTTCTAAACTTCCCTCCAAACTCTCCTCAATTTCTCTTTCTTGAATATGTGAATATGGCCCGAATAGACCCCACCACCTCCTTTGCTTCCTCTGTGCCTCGCCCGGGTCCCTCCCCTTCTTCTCGCAACAAAAGTCGACCCGCCTGTGGGCCGGCTATGCTTCAATTGGTCGGTCCTTCTTGGACTGGCCCGTCTGTGGACGTAACATTACTATAATCCCAAAAAAGTACCTTGTCCCCAAGGTGGAAAAATGAAAACTGCTTGTGAATAACCTTGTAAAGCTCCCATGTCGCTCCATAGTTTAACAGTCTTTTCTACTTAGCCAATATCTCATTCGCTCCCCTTACTCCTCGGCGCACTCCTTCAATCTCTAATGGTTCCAGAATCACCTCCAAGTCCACCGTCAGCGTAGCGCAGATCATCGTTGATCTCCAATTGCTCATCTCAACTGGGATACTTGGAAGATGAGGTGTAACGCAGATCATGGTGGTAACTTCAAACGGTAGACCACTCTTCTGATGCGTGTCATCACCTCATAAGGCCCAAAGTGTCTCAGTGAAAGTCTCTCGCTTCTCCTCCTGACCAGTATCTTCTGTCTGTAAAGCTTGAGCTTCAAGTAGATCATGTCCTCTAGTTCGAATTGCACCTTTCATGTGTCCATTCACTTTCCACTCCATGATTTATTGAGCCTTCAGAAGATGCCCCTTGAGCTCTGCTATTATCATGTCCCTCTTCTCCAAGTACTGATCAATGTTGGATACTGGTGGTGTTATAGTGTCAAATCCACCATGTTAGCTCTGAATTCCTTGTTGTAACGAGTTTAAGTTTTCTAAGGTGTCAGGTTATAATGTCAAATCCAACGGCTCTATGGTTATATTTCTTCAGATATTTTATAGGGAACATGTTGAAGTTGTACAGTGTATAGCATAATATTAGAGTATGTAGCACATGACAAGCAGTAGAGTATGCAATAAAGGCAAAGCAGTAGAGTATGCAATAAAGAGAACAGTACAACATGCGGTGTAAAGGAAAAGTAAGAAGTACAGCAGATAGGTGATTTTCAAGAAAGTAACATGTTGTAAACACAAAGCAAACTTGTACACCTGGGAGATCCGCAGCTCCTTAGGTGTAATTGATGCAATCAACTACAAGCAACAAAATTTGAGGAAACAGACTGAAATGCTTTATATAAACGAAGTAAAGAAACATTACCCAGAAATCTCGAAAAAAATCATCAAAAGATTCGCAACAAGAAATATACGAGGAAATCGACGAATTGACGAATCGATGAAAATCGTAGAAAACAAGGGAAAATCCCGAAAAGAGACCACGAGTGCTTTGTCCGAAAATCCCAAGAAAACATATGAAAAAGTCTGAAAAGAGGGGACCGCAAGCACTCGGGTCGAGGCTGGGCTCAACTATATAATAGTATTCAAGGGTCGTCGAAGGCTACTCAGTCATCCGGCTGTATAAAGTCTGCCACTCAACTAAGAGGGTGTCTTATCGAACCTAACTCAGGAGGATACTCCTTAGCCCAAACAGGTAATCAACAGGTGGACAACTAATGTTTAAAATGTATTTAAAATTTATATTTTTAGCATGCACATAAGTTTCAAGCATACAAAAGGGGTTGTATCAATTTTATTTGTAGCGAAAAATATATTTTTATTTTAGAAAAAGGTGTATATGTTCTTATCAAATTTGTTTTTTTATCAATTTTGAAAAGTAGTTGTCCACGAGTCGATCGCGCTGTGAGGCGTAGGGCCACCAACAACCTAAGAAGGTTCGGGTCAACTCCCGCAAGTCTTATGTTGGTGAATTATACCGTAATTCTACAGCTCACCAGGATCCTGAATCGGATCTCGATGTCGTGGGATGACATATCATTATGCTCTGTCTCCGCTGTACCTTTGTCATCACCTCCCTAAGCCCCAAAACAAAACCGACCTACTTGCGACCTTGCTTGATAGTTTCACGTATAGCAAAAGGCTATACATAGACACTTATGTATCAGACATAAGCATAAAAAACCGAACCAAGAAGCAAGGAAAAAAAGAACAAAAATGGGGTGAGAGAGAGGGGGGACTGATCTACCTAAAACATCGAAAG